AGAAAAACTTATATACAATATTTAATCCTAGAGATCAATATGGAGAAGGGTGTGAGTGAGGTGTGGGGGTGTGCGGGTGTGGGTGTGGGGTAGGTGTGCGAGTGTTGCTGGGTCTGGCTGTATGTTCATATACCACTTCTTTACCCACACCCACACCCTTTTACTTTATACATTGTTTATTCAATAGTCACCTATTAATGTCTATGGTTCTTGAAAATTTGCTTCATTTGACTGTTTATTAGAGGCATAATTAAGGAGGAGTCGAGCAGCCTCTCTGTCATCGATTGAATGTGTGCGTCCTCTTGATTACACCACTATCGTTTAAGTCAATTTCACTGCAAGAAATAAAAGATTCTATAAAGAACTAGAATTTTACCATTACTTTCTTATCATAAAGATATTTATTTTTGTGTTATCACAGGTATTAATAATACAATACATGATGTTCATTTGTATTACCATATATTGAAAGTGATTATTATTATGAACCTACAACTCCACCAACAGATATAGATATATCTTTTACTAATATTGGTGAGTATGTAACTTCAATTGTACCTGCTTATACTGAACAACAATTTAAAGAGCTTCTTCGACGTCAAATGTAAGTGGATTCTTTGTTCAAGAGAAAATTTTTTTATCATCTTTTATTTGTTTTTCTTTAGTGAATATTATTTTAGTTCAGAAAATCTTCAAGTAGATATATTTCTTCGACAACAAATGACTAAAGATAGTTATGTACCACTTTCATTAATTGCTTATGTTAGTTTGAAAATTTTCTTTATATAAAAATAAAATTGTTTTGTTTTTTGTTATATGTAGACAGTTCAAGATAGTCTTGTTGTTGAACTTAATGATAAATGTATGGTACATTGTCGAAATGAACCTGATCGTTGGCCATTGATGATTGATGTAAACAATCATTTAACAGCATTAAATCCTGATGTTCCAGATTTCCAACTCGGGAAAATTTGGAAGAATGAAAATCAAAGTATGAAATCTAAAGGACGAGGGTGAATAAGGCTATTTTTCGGCTCTCTATGGGTTTGAGATTTTTGTATCGGAATCGAGTTACGAGTAATGCTTGGTTGTATTCCACGGGGCCAGAATTGCGATAAGTGACATCACAGTTTTCGGGATCTGGAGTTATCTTTAAGGATTCGAGAAACACTTTCGTCCTCAATTTGGATTGCAACATACCTAATTACATCAATTCAAGTAAGTTGATTACGAATATGATATTCATAATAAATAGAATTGTATAACCTGCGGGGTAGAGCTGAGTTAATAAGCAAGGGAAAACGTGTTTAAGGATCTATGCTTGACTGTGCTCATCTTAGGTGAGGAGTCGATGCTGTTTCAACATGAAAGTTTGTGACGATAGGTAACTTTTGCAGTTCTATTCAGTAGTATTTTTAAAAGAGTCAAAAAAGGTGTGCATTAAGACTTTCCAGAGAACTTCTGGAGATTTTAACAAAAAACACACAAATCTCTATAAAAAAAAAAAGACAGCGGCATCGTGTTCCACATGGTCAGAAACCTATATTTTCAAATTTTCAGAAATTTTAGTTGATCTCATCAATCAGGAGAACAAAGACTTGTATTATCTGTATCGCATGTCCTTTAGTATGAACCCAGTTTTGTTATGCTTCACAGCGGTCATACTTTGCTTCGAAAATGTGGGTATGTAGGTTTCTGTCTATGTGAAACACAATGGTGATCTCGGTTTTCTAGAGATTTGTGTATTTTTTTTGTCAGGATCTTCAAAAGTCTTCTAGAAAACCTTAATGCATACTTTTTTGACTCTTTTTAAAATGCTACCGGGCAGAGTTCCAAAAGTTATTTATTCTCACAAACTTTCGTGTTGAAGCAGCATCGACTACTCAACTAAATAGAATGAGCACAATCAAGCATAGATTCTTAAACATGTTTTCATTATGGATATCATATTCGTAATCAGTTTATCTGAATCGATATCGCTAGGTATGTTGCGATCGAACTTGAGAAAAAACTTTTTCTCGAATCCCTCGAGGGAGTACTCCAAGCTCCAAAAACCATGATATTGCTTATCGCAGTTTTGGTCCGTAGAACATGATTGAGCATCAATCGTAAGTCTATTCTCATAAAAGATCTCAAATCTATGGAAAGCCGAAAAATAGCCTTATCCACACTTGTTCTTGAGACGTTTTGTTTTAAAACATTTTTGAAATATAGATAATTAAACATCTTTACTAGAAAAAGAAGAAACAAAAACTAATATTGATTGAAATCATAAATCAACAAGACGTAAAAAGCCAACAAAGAAAAAGGTTTAAAAATAATTCTTTAACAAATTATTTATATTATGTTTTTTCTTTTTGATTTAAGAAAAAAAAGAACAGTCCCAGGTTAAATCATCAAAACAAGATAATCGTAAAGAATTACCAAATAAACAAATAAATTTATCTTTATTTCGTTCACAAAATTGGTGTCGAACAACATCATTAACACTTGATCTATATGAAGAACAGTACGCTATTATCTAGTTTATTAATTAGATTTTGTTTTTTTCAATAGAATTTTTATTTTAGTAAAATTGATGAATCGGATTTTGAATTAGATGATGATGATGATGATATTGATAAAATTCTTATTATAACACCAACACTACCATCAAATCGTAAACATAATCAACAAAATCATGATCGTACAGGTGATTATACACCACGAGCTAAAGTATCAGCTGAAGTAGCAAAAATTATTGATGATGGTTTA